CCACTTATGGCGCATTGATTGAACCAAGTTGACGCCAATCGGACCCTGCCTAACTATTCACTGTCATCATCCAAGCATTTAACATATGAAAGCAAAGGCACTAATGGCATCTCATTGGTTGAACCATGTTGATGCCAACAGAACCCTGCCTAACTATTCATGGTCATCGTCCAAGCAATTAAGACATGAAAGCAAGCGTGCACGTACTCACGTACTGTAATTGTTGCGCTACTTTGGCTTGATTTGCTCGGTTCTCGATTCATCCGCCGCTGGCTGGTGTGTTGGTTCGCCGAAGCTAGCTCACGGACAGCCGAAGGATTCTGCTCCTTCCATACACAATCGACGGATCGACCTGTTCTGAAAATGATTAGCTGATATCAAATAGCAGGAAAATAGCGGCGGACCTCCAAATCAATTATAGTGGATTAAAGTAGGCTATTTGTGAAGACGACCATTTAGCGGCATCCTGCTGAAAAGGTTATAGCGGGCTATTTAAAACTAGGGTCCCGATAACTGCCACACGTGTGGTGTATCGGGTAGTTGTGCCACACGCCTTATGTGGCATGGACAGCAACCAGCCCACACACTTACGTGTGGGCAAAATAACTAATGCCCACACACATCTTTTTTTCCCTCCTGAACCCTCTCACACGCGTGCGTGTGGGCGAAGTTGATAACGCCCACACGCCCGTATGTCAGGCCTCGTACCCTTCTGGTCCCGCACGCGACGCGTGACGCCCACCGCGCGCCCGCAGTTGCCATGGTCCAGACCCTCGTCCATGTTCGTTTATCTGCAGTTGCCATGTCGCTGAACTGCGGTTGCCATGTTGGACAACTGCAGTTGCCATGGTTGCTCAACTGCAGTTGCCATGTATGGTCTGATCTAATGTAGTTGTCATGATTTCATAACTTTAGGAGTTGCCACATACTAACACTAGGCAGTTGAGAGAGTTGCCATGTGCTCACAAACATGCTAGGGCAGTTGCCATGTAAAAAGGAAGAGTTGTCATCTGCTTACGTGCACGTTAGGGCAGTTGCCATGTACGTGCACGTTGGGGCAGTTGCCATGTACCATGCAAAAACACATGGCAACTCGGTAAAAGACAATTGCCATCTGCTTACGTGCACACTAGGCAGTTGCCGTGTACCCTGCAAAAACACATGGCAACTTGGGTAAAAAAAAGAGTTGTCACCTGCTTATAAAGCACACTAGAGGCAGTTGCCATGTGCGCTGCAAAAACACATGGCAACTAGCAGCTTACGTGTGGGAGAGGAGACGGGCGTGTGGGCGAGATGACAAATGCCCACACACCAGCCCTTGTGCGTGACTGAAAACTGGTGTGTGGATGAACTGCTAAACGCCCACACACCGGCCCCTCCGTGTGGTAAAACGGATGTGTGGGCGAACTATGTCACACACCACACACACGCCTTATCCTACGTGGCACAGAAAATCAGCCAGATTGTGTCAAGATTCATGCATATAGTACTGGACGGTGATGGATGCGTGTGGTCGAGATGGTCAACGCCCACACGTGTGGGCGTTAACATTTCCGTAAAACTATGGCTGATATACAGAGGGTATAGATTACTAAACACGTACTTCATTCATAAAAAAATATAAAAGCGTTTAGATCAATATGCTCTCAGCGAGTGGTGGAAGACAGCTTCCGCTACTGCAAAGCGCTAAAAGTCATATGTGGATGAAAGGAAGCACTTGAATAGAACCCGCCAGTACTGATTGACCATGGTTTACATATAAACACCTGTCTCCAAACCGTCATCTGTCAAGGTGGAACTTTGATGCACACAAAGTTGATGAGCCACCATTTGCACCCATCTATGGAGATCTCCAGTCAGCGGCGTGTGTTCGAGATCTGGTCGCTCCATACATAGCCAATGGTTTTAGTGGTGACTTCATAGGACTATCATCTTATAGTCACAGCTGACGACCTTTGGCTCGCCCGCCCGTGCTGAGCCCACAATTGACGCGCCATTGTCTTATAGTCTAGGAGACTCAATCTACCTTTCATAGAACAATCCATGAAGATTGATCAGCTATGCCACCAAGAATCATAATAGTTGTTTTCCTCCAAGCTAGTACTACATCCGTTCCAAAATAATTGAAGTATTCTAGAATTATCGTTAGTCAAACACTTTTAAGTTTGATCAAGTATGTGAAAAAATATACGAAGATCTACAATATCAAATAATATAGAATGTGAAATATACTTCATAATAACACAAACTAGTTCAGCAAAAGGCTAAGCCGGTGGAGAAAGACGTACAATCTAGTAGTAGATTCTAATTTTTTTTATAAGTAGTGCCTTGGCCAAGGTCGTCAACTCTAGGCCCTCTAACTCTGACACCATATTGAATAGTACCCACAAACTTATAGTGAAGCATCAAGGGGATAAAAACACGATAATCATACGTCCAATATCTTAATGACTAGAATGCACATAATGTATACCGAAGCACACAAAAATAAGTGTCACGTGGCAAGAGCAAAGTCATATAAGACCAGAGTTATGTCTAGGCGGATGAATAAAAAGAACAAAAAGAAGGCAATGTTGATCCTCACCGAGCAGTGTAGCGCTAACAAAGATGATGTAAGTGCAAGCGGTCCGTACGTGGACCCAGCCACCCGCGGAAAACTGTGCACACACCAGGCAAGGTAACAGTCGCCAAGAGTCGATCTGTGGAATTCGTCTTCACATGTGTGATGCGGATTGCAGGACGATAGAAGATAATACTACTAAAATCTCAAGGACCCAGGAAAATAAATCACCAATCGTCAATGCATCACCATGGTCACGATCTGCCACCACCAGCTCCGTCGACCAACCACTGGCCAGCATAAGGAGAATTGCCTTGGCACACCACCTCCAGAATGTCGCACGCAACGGATGATCTTCTCTACTCGCTGCAAACACCGGAGAGATAAAGAAGCGGCAGCTGCAACACAAATCTCTCACCAACCAATGCCCCCCCGCCCCCTCCCCACAACTAGCATCCTAAGGGTCATCATATGAGGGAATGGAAACATTTTGGCCTCCAACCGCCGCCAGATCAAAGTCGAGTGCAATCGCTCCAAATCCGCTGCGTCGAGCAGCTCCACGGGATCTAGACAACCTGACGATGCCGTGTCAGATAGCAAACGGGGATCCTGGGAGCCACCATGCCACGCCGACCTTGTGCAATACATGTTGTCACTGCAATGGTTGTCCCACGCGTGGACTACACCAGCCGCCAGCCACGCCACCGGGAGAAGCCCCGCCGCCAGCGTCTGGCGTGTGGGATCTGGCCGGCGGCATCCTCCAATGATAGTGATGGGAAGGAAAGCTAGACGTGGAGCCGGCCATGGTGACAGTTTACCGCCCATGCCGCTCGGGAGAGCAACGTCAGGGGTCTTCACCAGCCAGCTCACTAAGGTCCTTCCCAGTGTTCGTGGTGTACAGGTGCCAAGGGTGTGACAGAGGCAAAAAAAAAAGGCAAAGCCATAAAAGAGGAGAGAGAGTATTATGACCACCTATGCAAAGTGACCTACCATCCAATGCATGAAAGAGCTTAGTTATTAAACAATTACTTAGCTACAAAAGATAAACACCTATACATTGAAGAGATTGATTCCTAAGGTTTTTAACGTGCTTAGCATCCCACCTAAGAGCAAGTATAATAGGATGATGTAAGCGGGCTGTAAGGATTTAAATATTGTATTATTGCTTAGTTGGAAGAGAGAAAAGAGGAAAGAGAAGGGAAGCGGGTTGTAGACTTACAGCCGGCTATAAGTCGAGCTCTAAGAAGCTTTGTGAGAGTGAAAGATAGGTCATATGTTGACAAAGTAGTAATTTCTTATAGCCAACTATTATACGTGTTAGCTATTACATTGGCTGTAAATGACATAACAACATGTTGTAGCCAGCAGTTGGCTACATTATTAACCATGCTCTAAGTATCAATGCATTGGAAGAGGCCTATAAAAGGCCTAAATGCAATATGTTTCCAACACTACATGTTTTTTTTCCTAAAAAAAGAATCGGCCCGGCGCGTCATTAATTAGAGCACGTACAGCATAGCAGTTTAAAACCTCACGCAATTTACAATCAGCCCTTCGTGCAAAGCTTTCGTTTGCTACGAAGCTTAATAATTAGAGGATGCAAATGGAGGTCGTTCACATCGGCGTAGCTCTCGTCTCCGCCGGCTTATGTATCGTGCTTCTTTCCAGCTGCAGCCGACGGCGCAGAGCGAACGAGCCGCCGGGGCCGTGGCAGCTGCCGGTGATCGGTAGCCTGCACCACCTCGTCGGGCAGCTCCCCCACCGCGCGATGCGTGACCTGGCCCGGCGCCACGGGCCGGTGATGCTCCTCCGGCTCGGCGAGGTGCCCACGCTGGTGGTGTCGTCCCGGGAGGGTGCTCGCGAGGTGATGAAGACCCAGGACTTAGCGTTCGCGACGCGGCCCCTGAGCGCCACCATGCGCGTGCTCACCAACGGCGGCCGGGACATTGTGTACGCTCCGTACGGCGACTACTGGCGACAGCTCAGGAAGATCGCCGTCTCGGAGCTCGTATCGGCGAGCCGCGTGCTGTCCTTCCGCGCCATCCGTGAGGAAGAGGTCGCGGCCATGCTCCACGATGTTGCCGCGGCCGCGGCAGCCGGGCGCCCCGTGGAACTGCACACGCGCCTCTCGGCGCTCGTCACCGACATCAGGGTCCGCGTCGTCATGGGCGACAATCGGTTTAAGGAGGGCGACGCATTCCTCCGCACACTCGACCGCTCATGGAAGATCGCGGCCGGTTTCAACCCGCCGGACCTGTGGCCGTCGTCCCGGCTTGGCGGGCCGTGGGCCGCGCCAAGGAGTGCCACGATACCGGGAACGGCATCGTCGACGCCATCATCCAAGAGAGACTTGAGAGGATGGTGCAAGGTCAGATTCAGGACGAGAACCCTGGCTTACTCGACGTTCTGCTAAGCATGCAGAAGGAGGGGAAGGCTCGACATGGACGCCGTTAAATATGTCATCTTCGTAAGAACCCGCGACTACGTACTACTACCATTCATGGAGTACTTACTAATTTCGTGCATTCACCATCCGAAACCCAATAATGATAGACCTACGCAGAATCTACAAATGTTTACTTAACTTTTCAAACTATAATTCTCTTCCCCCGTGTCCCCTGAATTCAACGGGGTGGGCCCTTTATCCCTTGTTACTCCCTCCGTTTCTTTTTAATCCACATATAAGGTTTGGTCAAAGTCAAGCTTTATAGAGTTTGACTAACTTTATATTAAAAAATATAAACATTCACAATACGAATTCAATATTATCTGATGCACCATGAAATATATTTTCGTACTATATAATTTTAGTATTGTAGATGTTCATATTTTTTATATAAATTTGATCAAACTTTGTGTAGTTTGACTTTGACCAAATTTTATATGCGGAGTAAAAAGAAACGGAGCCATTATTACCAATCATAATCCTTCACATCAATTTTTTTTCGGGTAAATCCCTCCACACCTGCTTGTTTGTAAAAAAAACTTTTATAGATGTAGCACTACTCTTTGAAACCCATATGTTGTTTTTTGGGAGGAAAAAATACAACAATACTTAGAAAAAGGTTATTAGTAGCTAGTTAGCACAGATCAAACAACCATTAGTAACATCTTAATTTTTTTATCATCGTAATTAGTCCCTGCTAGATAAATAATATAAAAAAATGCAGGACTTATTAACTGTAGGCAGCGAGGCCACGATCCTCGAGTGGGCGATCGCAGAGTTGATCAAGAACCCAGAGGTGATGCAAAAGGCGACCGTCGAGGTCCGACGTGCCTTCGAGGCCTGCGCCACAGTAGCGGAACATGCTCTGGGCGAGCTTTCGTACATGCACCTAGTCATTCGGGAGACGCTGCGGCTGCACACGCCCACACCGCTGCTCGTCCCAAGGGAGTGCCGAGAGCCATGCCAGGTGCTCGGGTATGATGTGCCACAGGGCACGCAGGTGCTGGTCAATGCCTGGGCGTTGGCCCGTGACAAGCAGTATTGGCCGGACGCGCCGGACGAGTTTCACCCCGAACGATTTGAGGGTGAGGCGACAGCGGTGGACTTCAGGGGCACCGACTTCTCCTTCGTGCCGTTTGGCGCCGGCCGTAGGATGTGCCCTGGGATAGCGTTTAGCCTCGCCGACATCGAGCTTGCTCTAGCAAGCCTGCTATTCCACTTTGACTGGGAGGGTCCACCTCCGGATGAGCTCGACATGACCGAAGAGTTTGGCATCACGGTGCGCCGGAAGGCCGGCCTCGTGCTGCGCCCTGTCCTCCGAGTGCCCCTACCTGGAGTGAGCAATGGAGATGCTTAGCACGATCACGGTTCAACATGCATGGTGAGAATGCATTGCACCTGCATGAGGTTGAATGAAAAATATCATTAGAAGAAAACTACCCATGCATCATATTAATAAATAAAAATTCCACGCATACATCTCTTGGTGTGTTAGTTTTAATCTTGGTGTTTTTAGATATCGTTTGAAATCTCATTGGCACAAGCCCACGATTTGTGTTGCCGTGTCAAACTCTGGGTTGTTTGTGAGCCATGTCCACATGCAGTATTTGTTTGTGTATACATGTTATTTCCAGTCTTTTGTATTAATTCCATCCCAAACTGTAAGTCATATTTATATTGCCGTTTGTAAGTCAAATCACAAAGTTTATATAAAGGAAAGCATCGCCGTTAACAAAAGAAGTAAATATGTTTTAAGCTGTACCTATTGGTACTGGTTTGTGCAAGTTTTCGATTTTTGTCTTTTTTTGTTACCATAGTATGTCGATTGTTGTTTCTCTCTTTTTTTATCAAGGAAGAAGTATTCCATGAATTATATATAGTATAGGACTGTGCTAACGTCCAATCGACTGGACATTAGCAACAGATCCGGACGATCGATCCCGCTTCTCCTGTCCTCGATCCCATCCCACCGCTTCTCTCGCTTCATTTTTATTTTCTGGCATGGTAGAAAAAATGCTTCATATTTATTTTCTGGCGTGGTAGAAAAAATGTGGTAAAAAGTCCTCGATCCCATCCCACCGCTTCTCTCGCTTCATTTTTATTTTCTGGCGTGGTAGAAAAAATGTGGTAAAAAGTGGTAAGAGGTGGGACTCGAACTGACTACCTCTTGATTCAAGATCACCTGTCATATCCATCTTGTCCAGTTTCAAGTTGTGATAACAAAGAATGCCAATAATTATTTGTACTTCTACATACGCGACCAGAAAAACAAGCTGTTTTTCTTTCTTTCCATTTTATTTACCAAATTTTTCTTTCCTTTTGTACATGGTAATCCATGCACCACATATCTGATAACTCACGCACCGCTGTAAAGAACATGATAATTTATACGCACGAACCTGATAACTCACGCACAAACACCGTGATAACACACGCACAACAAATATTTTCGCCCAAGTAAAAAGTTACTGTGGTGTTTGTACATAAGTTATCAGCATTGTGGGCACACAAAAGTTACCGGAGTTGCATTTTAAACAACCTTTTTTCCACAGAGTAAAGTTATCAGGGTGTTTGTACCTAAGTTATTAGGTTTGTTGGCGTATATTACCATACTATTTATACAGAAGTTATCGCGGATATGTCTTCAACATTTTTTTCCCCGGATAAAAATTACCGTGGTGTTTGGACCTAAGTTATCAGGTAAGCGGTGCGTATATTACCATATTATTTTACACATAAGTAATTGAAGATATGATTTTAAGAAAGAAAAATCCTAGGTCAAAGTTATCGCATTGTCTTTGCCTAAATTATCTGGTCTATGGTGCACATATTTCCATGCTATTTATATTGTAGTCATCAAGTTGTGTATTTAACCAATATTTTCTGTCGGGTCAAAAATACCGTGAGTATTATGTACCACTGAAGATGCCGGAGTATATTAAGCAACTTTTTTCTGGGTCAAAGTTAACATAATATTTGTTCATCAAGTTATGAGATCTATATCTCGCCACAAACAAGTCGTTTTCGTGGGCCTGACCACTAGCACGCTATAACGATGTTTGTACAAAAGTTATCACGGTATTTGTATATAAGTGATCAAGTTTGTTATGCGTGAGTTACCATGCTATTTACACATAAATTATCGTCAAACAACACTCCCCCACCGGACCAAACTTATCATGTATACGGTACTTATATTATCATGCTATTTTCACACGAGTTGCCAGGGTGTGTTTCAAAAATTGTTTTTCACCTGATCGAGGTTTCCACAATATTTGTACATAAGTTATCAATGTTGCGGTGAACAAATTATCATGTTAAGACCATGAACCCAGCTCACATCTATGTACAAAAAAGTACAAGAGTCTAGTCTTCTATGTTAAATCGTGATCTCTAATATATTTTTGATAAAAATCTATGTTTTATATATTTTTTGGTTAAAAGTTTGTAAGAAAAACGAAACGACAGCAGAATAACACTTGATCAGATTTGTAGTAGAATAGTCTACCTCAACATGAAGGTATGAAAAGTATCTAACATGAATCAAATCACAACATAGAGTTTGTTTAGGTGGTTGCTGGTAGATTCCTAATACTGCTGGGTATGTTAGATCTCAGGTTCGACTCCCCCAGCCCTCCTATTTTTTTACCGAAAATAAAAAGAAGACAACCCAAAAAAGGCGTCTTGGAGTTGGGCAGGGAATGAGGGGGAATTACAGATCGAGTTGGAACGAATGAGACGTGCGGGAATTGTGGATCGGGAGTGGGCCGGAGCGGGCGTAAACAAAGATCGGAGGAAAAAAACACACGAGAGCGATTGTACGTGCCTGTCACTAACTGCCAGTCGGCAGGAAAATAGCATTCTCGTATAGTATATAGTAGCTTTTTTGGGTTCCTTTCTCGTAATTTTTTAGAGAATATTACTTTTTTATCATGTTTATATATTGTTACAACCTCATTTGGTCCTGACAGTCTTACTAGGTCGCCTATCCCATCATACACACATGTGTTATGTACATCATGCATGGCAAGAGAAAAACAATGGTCATTTGATACAAATTCAAAGGCAAATAAAAACATTAAAAAGTGACAGCAATTTTTTAAGTTTCAAGCAACTAAGATATGGCCATTCTTTTTTTAGAAAAGAGAAAACTTTTTAGAGTAATTAAAGATTTGGATACTTAGATTAGTGTGGTGTGAGCCTTGGAAATATTCAGCCTAAGGATGTCTCTAACTAATCCGCAAAAAAAGTATCCAAGGATATTTTTTTTGCTCTTCTCCAAAAGGTTACGTAAATCTGCTTACCCATATTTCATCACATTGATTATATCTATCCTCCAATTGTGCAAATGGACTACAAATCATCTCTACAACTGATCAAATAGAAATTAAAACATTTGCTGCAGATCGTAATGCTCCTAGAAAGGCATATTTCAAATATAGATGATGTTAATAGCATACCCAACTATGAACCGTACGAGCACATCCTTTGTCACCCCCACCGCGCTTACGGCTCTATACCCCAACCCAACTTGCTCTAGCCCTGGGTCCTCCCGCATCTCTTCCTCGGTAAGCGGACCGTGGAAGCTGGGGAACCAATCTACAAATGTCAGGCGATAGGTCCTCCGGTCACACATGCGGAGCAAAAAGAGCTTGTATGCGATCGGCCGAGCCATCACACACAATTATACAGGCTCAAATGTTTCCATTCGTATATACAACACACACAATTTTCTGCATCACATCGTCTATGATAGTGTTGTCATAGCAGATGATATTTATAAATTTATCATTTGCGTTATTGAATGCATCACGCACGGTGCCTAGAAAAAATTGTGTGGCATAGATTGTCCATCACACACACTTTTTATGTGGAAAACATTTGTGCAAGATGGCCTAACGCAAAGAGTTGTCTAGAGGAAGTCGTCTACAATTGTTCATTGATCCAACACGTTTACTTTCCAGAAACCGTGTGGGTTATCAGAGATCATCGCCCACGGTGTTGTCTCAGTAACGATCTACAATACAAAAACCCAATAAGCAGGCCAATTGGCCTATTATTCTTAATCCATTTATTAATCAAATTAAAAAATTCATATCAAACACATAATATATTTCATTTTCATATTACGGCAACCAGAATTTTATAACTGAAATACATCAGAGTACAACATCATATAGCTTCAGCACTCAGTTAAACCATATAGGCATATAGCTAGCTACCACATTACATAACAGCACCAAGTTTCACATACAAAATCTGAAACCTTTGGAAATTAGCATGATAGACAGTGGATAGATAGGTGAATCTCATCTAAAAACTGCTGAAGCAGAAGGTGAATATTGGGCCTTCAATGATGTCGAAGGTCCTTGCAATTTTAGGCCAGTGCCTGTGGATGATTGACCGACCATCATTCATGCTCTTAAGAAAGACTTCAATATTGTACCGTGGGTGTTGTATGAATACCTTCCTCGACTCTTGACCATACATGTGGTTCGAGATGTAATCATCGGTGAACTGCTTTACAAAGACCTCAAAACAAATATACTCATAAATATCTTCTCTAAATTTTAAAATGGCGCAAAGGAATTTAAAAAGGTATAAGAGTTAGTACCATCATGTAGTTGACTGATGTCTTCTTCATTGTGCAGACAAAAAATTTGTTATTTTTCGTCACTAGTTTCTTTATCCTAAAAATCTTTTTGAGTTTGTTGACTTAAGTGATGTTCCTGGACATCTCATTTCCCCATATGCAAGATGGGTCGAACAGTGGGTCAAAACCTCTGATAGCAGGACCTACATGTGCAACACCAAATTGTTAAAAACCTAAATATTAGAATGATTCTTGCAATTGCACAATAATGTTCTATTAGCCAAAGGACCATGCATGTGCAAACCTCGATGGTAAAACCTCAGTGTCTCCCATTGTTTCCTTGCAACATATATAAGGTAGTTATTGACCAGGTTAAGTGCGAGTTGGCATACTATCAGTAAAATATGTTGACGAAATATAAACACATTGCAAAGTCAGCAAATTTATTCGAGCCTCATGGAAAAGTCAGTTATCCAAACCAAGCATACATAAGAACTAGAAAATATAGCAATTGTATATGTTTCTCATGTATTTAGTACAATCAAATTCGATTTATTTCTCATATGCATAACAATACAAAATTGTACCCACAACAATTGAACATCGCATTGCAGAATTGAACAAAACAGTTAACTGAACACCACAGCAAATGAACCAAACAGTTACATGAGCACAACATTGCACAATAGAACATACTAGAAGATTAGATAGTTAAACCAAACATGCTTAACAACTCAAAAATATAGCAATTGTATATGTCATGT